AGGTTCCTTTTACAAGCCCTGTGGAATTCTTAAATTACTGTATTATTTATTATCTTTATTTTTTTATTAGCGCAATCAAAGAGCTAAACTAGTATTCAAAGCCAGAACTGAGCGATAAAAAAAAACACAGTAAATGTTGTGACTTACTCTTGAAACTGGGGAACGCAGTTCATGGCGTAAAGAACGCCGAGAGCCGACAATGAAAACAGAAAGACGAAGGTCTCCATCTCGTCCTCCGTCCCTGAAACACCAACAGCGCCGACGAGCGACACGAAAAACTCTTGAATCTGCTCCGGCAACAGCAGCACTCGCATTGGATCAAATCGTTTTTTTTAAACGATGACAATATATATATATATATTTTTTATAGGAACTGGAACAAATAAAAATACGTCTTTCAAACCATTAAATGAAACGAATGTGGTGAAATGAAATGGTGAATTGAATTGAGAAGAAGTCGAGCAGGTTCTTACCGGCTGCTGCTGTCCTTTCGCTGGATTAACCGAGTTGCGGCCTCAGGCAGACATGGTCTCTACTGGGGGAAATAGTGAAGTGGACACAAAGCAGCTTTTGGGGGGAAAGTTTCGCAATTTTCTCAGAGATTTACATAAGTCGTATTAGTGAGCGGGCCTTACATTCCTATTTATGCAGCAACGCACTTTCAGGGGAATCCTGTTCCACATGAGCACTTTGATGCTGTGTTTATGAAACGTGTGCATTGTGTGACGATGACAAACGCACAACGGGTTCCACGATACGATCTGCGTAGACTGAAGCGTTGCTGTGTCGGCATTGTAATATGAAATACGGATCTGTTAAGGGTTCGGAAAGGCCTCACTCCTTTGTTCTCGTCCCGGCCGGAAACGAAGAATCAAAAGAGTCAGCTTGCGTGAATTCAAAAATCAAAAAGTATTTAATAACTAAACAACGTTATAAGGAATACAATTACAAAGTGAAATACAAAACGAACAGTAAATATTTCGCGCAATAGAGAATCCTCTGAGCAAGTCTGAAGCGACTTATCAAAGCGGCTGCAGGAAAATTCACAGTTCCTTCCCCGCTTTGGTCCTTTGAAAACTCCTGAGGTGTGTCTTCTTAGGTGTGTTTGAATGTCATTGGCTTCTTCTTCAAAGTGTCTCCTCCTTCATTGTCCCCTTCACGTCGAGGTGTGAAGCTGCAGCTGTAACCTGAAACCTCACTGTCCATCTGTCCCTCACATTCCAACGCACTCAATGTAGATACATGTGGCTTTATGCCTCAATGAGTGAATATAACAAAGCACGCATAGTTTGTCTTCATCTTATAACTAGTACACTTTAATTACAACACATCATTAATGATCCCCGTTCATCACACTTCATCATAAGATCTAAGACAGTTCATGTGGTCCAATTCTCAAGACATTTGCCTCAGTCGGCTGCCTTACATTAAGTTGTTCATTTACTACCTGACAGGAGAAAAAACTCCCAAAAAACCCTCTTTGGGGATAAAATTGGGAAAAATCCATAAAGGACGGCGATTAGCATCCGTCCCCAGGTTTTAACATCACATTGTGACAGAATGTTAATGTGTACAGTGTTTATATGATTTTAATAACTATGAATTGTGTTTGATTCAAATTGCATTCACTTCATCTAACATGTTAATGTAATAACTAATATCTAATAACACACAAACTATAATTCTAACACTAAACATTATTACACATACTATAACTTCCATGGGTGCACTTCTGATCCCTAACAGATCCTAATCCCGGATCACGTGTGTGTGGAAGTGGTTTGAATAAATCCTCGTGGGTGACGTGTTAAACACATGCTTGTGTCTGGTTTGCTTTTCATATTTTGGTCTTTGTCGACGAATGGAGCTGCGCTGCACAATACAAGGCGTTTTTCCGTCTCCATGATCAAAATGGATTTAACAACTTGCCACAGTTCCGGTTTGTCCAACAACCCCTTTTTTCTGCTTCTTGTGCAAAGGTATTCAAACCAAGGAAGTGCCTCCAACCTCATCCGAACCGAAAGTGCATGAACTGAACTATTAACAGTAACTAACTCGTGCTGGCGTCACAATGAACATCTGCCAAATAGGCAAAAAGAATGACTTAGTAGGAACTAGACACTAACAGGAAGTGGGGAGGCAAATCGGAGGCAAATGATCATTGTGTTTGTGCCTACGACAGCTGTGGTTTGTCTGCGTTCTTTTTCTCTCAGGCCCTGGAAACACTGTTGAATTATTTAATGCACACTCTCAAACATTGATGACTTTAAATCCAGTTCCCTTAAAACCAAGTGTTTGCAGAATGTTTCCAGCAGGGCGCACCAAATTCAAAGTAAAACACAGGAGCACTCGGCGATTGAATTGATGCATGTTTTGAGATACCACATCATTTATGCTTGTCCAGTCCAGATTTGTGAGAAGTGTCAAAAAGCGTCTCCGTCCGTTGTTTTATCCAATAGTTGCATCACAGGTTCATTGTGTTCAATCCAATGTTAGTCTGATTAATTAGCCAACATGCATTAAGGGGTGTGATCCAAATGCTGCTTTTACATCTGGTATCATCACCCACCACCTTGCAGAGATAGAACAATACAAGCGCATCAGACCGGGGAGACAAAGCACAGCCCTTCCAGTATCTGTCAGGACCAGTTCCTTAAAATTGAAGACAAACAAACACACACACACACACACACGCGCACACACACACACACACACACACACACGCACACATGCACACGCATGCACGCTTGCCTTTGCTTCCCACCATCCGCCTTTGTGGGGAAAAGGGGGGACTGTTATACCCGGAAAGCAGTGGCACTGCGTGTTTGCTGGAAACGAACTGGAGCTCTTCCAGCTCTGTCGTTCAATAAGGTGGAGTGGACAGATGGATGCCAAATGGAGACAGTGACCTGCGGGGGGGGGAGAAGATGAACATGTACTCCATTTAGCATCTAAAAGGAAAATACGTTGTTTGTGCAATAACTGTCTGTGAGGATGTAGTCCAGGGGATTTACTCAAGTGAAAAGAACACGTAAGAAAACAGTAAGCAACGCACATTTGCTCTCAATTGCACAAAAGACGATTGATTAAAAAAAACATTCAATTTTTATTATAAATTGCCTTTTGCACTCTTTATTCTGTTGTGCAACGATTACTTTGCTCATATGCTGTTTTATGCAGTTGTGTAATGCTTTCTCATTGAGTCATTAGCTTTGATTATTATTATCACTAGAGGTTGAGCCGGGGGGGGGTTGTAATAGCCGTAGAAGCAGTAGTATTGTGCATGGGCTAAATGTAGGTCCATAACCTTTAAAAGTAAGAAAGAAAACAATTGCTTGAGATTGCAATTCCAGTCAAGAATGGTGAAAGAGGTGATTTGCTGTTGAAATTAAGGAGTTTATTGGTCTTGAATGATGTCCAAATATCTGTTTTACGGGAATTTTTAGTTTTTTCCTGCGGGGATTCAAAGAAACCAAGAAAAACAAATGGACTCTCAATTTAAATAACAAATTTTGGGCATTGCAGCCTACATACACATTTATATAGTAGTTTAGTAAGAACTCGTTTTCACAGATCTTCTGCTTTTCAACATCTGTTTTTGAAAAGACTTGACCTAGTTTCTAGATGTTAAAGTTTTAAGCATTTAAGTGATACAGCTCTCACCCCAAGATGCATATTACTATTGCATAACCCATTGAATATGGAGCAGACCAACCTAAACAGTTTCCCCAAATTTAGATGGCATTTACTGAATATTCCAGTTTAGTCTTACAGATAATAACATGTAAAAAGTGTTGTGTAGTTACATTCTACTTGGCACATCTATAATTCTTCAATCTGTCGACTTTAACGGCCAATACCGGAGCCGTTGGACAGGTTAATCTCTCACTTTTAATTATTTATCACTAAATCGAGACGTCGGATTAAATGTGCCGAACATCTCCCTGATGAACTATTTATGTCCCGGCGGCTCTCCGGCCGCACATCACCGCGCGTCACGACCACAGCGGCGGATATATTCTCGTTTTTTTCGCTATTCAAAATGGCACCGTCTCAATCAGGAAGTGGCGAAAACAACTACGAAGAATAAGTTGGATGAAAAAACCCTCGTTTCGGTGACTTTGACGCGAGTCCTCGTTCGAGGTCGCCGCGCGCGATCGTGGTTTTGGGATTTAGAACGAAGAAACGCATTAACGGGTGAGTGTGGTTCGAGAATATTGTGGAGAAGGAAAGAAAAAAAAAAAGAAAGAAGGCGAGCGACACATCGGCGGCTGCCGTTGCAACAAGATGCGTTCTGGGCAGCCTCTCCTAGGCGCGCACGTTTTTAACGACGGGGTACGCCGGTTCTCCGGTGGTTGTCTTGGTTTGGCGTTATCGTAGGCAACGATATCGTTGAACTTTGTGTGAGTTGAGAGCAATGGAAGTCGGGGCAGTCGTAATAAATTAAAGAAGACGCAGGGATGGACACGTCAAGAAAGGCCAGCAGCTATTCAAGCTAGCTGGTTACTACGTAGCTAGCTAGTAATAAGCTAATCCTTCGATGATGGTTAACCTCCAAGTTACGTTATTGTGGCTCATCAAACTGTCTGTTCTAACGTTACTTTGACAAAGAGTAACAAACTATTTTATTGACGGTTTCAGAAAGTCATTTAAGATCTTCTTCAGCAGACTAACTATCGTTAGTTTGGTAGCGACGTTAATCCAATAACATTGGCAACGTACAAAACGAGCATACCCACAGTCAGAAAACGACTATGAGCTAGGCTAACCAAGCTAGCACAATCGGCTATCCAAAGTATGCCTTCTATTTTAAAACCACAGTCGTGTGTTTCTATATTTTCCCCCTCCGTGTTTATTTCCCGACGCATATTTTGAGTCGGGCATCTCCGAAAAGCTCCACAGCCGACGTTAGCTTTCTTGCTAGCGCTTGCTCAATGCGCCGTCGCGCTCGTCGGTGGGTAAGCTAACATTAGTAGTAACGCTGTAACGGAGAGCTGCCTTTTCTTTGTGTTGTGCCAAGACTGGTGCGCTTCTGTACTCGTCTTCAAAATACCCCACGATTAAGCCGAGTACGACCTCGGTTGTGTGAAAACGGGTCCCCCCCCCCTCCCCCCAAACTCGTAACTAAACGATGCGTACTTTTAATGCGTAAACACAAACGCGTCAGGGTGAGATTCGGTATCGGTGGTTGCAATGCAGCAAAGGTCAATGGACGTTAACGTGTTAGTACCGTCATAGTATCCCCGCACATTGAGTCGGTGGGAAATGAACGTGGTACTAAGCTAACGTTGGGTTCATATTGGAGGTGACGTTAAAAACCAGCGCAGCGACGTTAGTTGTTAGATAGAATAATGTACCCGGCGTTAGTAACCGACTGCCACCCGTATAACGTGAACGAATGTAACATCCCCGGATATTGTTTGACTGAATTTACACCTTTTCGTGTCTGTGTGTCGGATTAAGAACTTAATCCAGTGTGTGTAGATAAGTGTTGCCCTCGGTTGTGTCACGGTTCTTCCACGATGTGGCTAAAAGGCACACACTTTAGGGTAAACATGCAGCACAAATGCATGTGTATGACCTGATGATACTGGCTCAACGTGGGACACAAACCACGCACATAAATGAAATGTGGCCTCTGGTTATTTTACTTTCCAGTGGGGCCGATGCCTGCAGCAGGGCTATGCAGGCCTCATGCAAGCCTTGACACAGTGGGCTCCTATGGTGGCCGGCAGGCTATTTCTCTATTTGTGTCACTTCCCCACCATGTCAAAGGATACTGCTTGATAGTTGTAAAGCGAATGAGTTGCTGCCTTTGACTCAAGGGCCCTTTAACCCCCCGTGACCCAGTCAACCACCTCGGTGTCACAGTCCAGTCCCTCCTCCGGCCAAGGCTGCATCTCATTTCCATTTATAGGTTTTTATTTCATACAGGCAGGTTGTCTAATTGATTTCCTTTTTTCAATGAGCAAAATACCAGTTAAAACCCACAGCTCATGTTTTTTTGTTTGTTTCACTTCTCCATAACATAGAGCATCAAAGCGTTTTAGGTGGTTGTATTCTGAGAAACTACTTTCAGGAAAATGGCTTTTGTTTTTTGTTCTGTTTTTTTTCATATTGCCAAAATAATTGCAGTTCCTGAAACGGTTAAGCTTCAAGTTTGTGCTGCACAGCATGTCCTTTTCTAATTTTCCTGTCCTAACCACTGGATCACACAATTGATGGCTGGCTGGCCTGCAGGGACTCTCGAGGGTCACAGCCCTCCGGATCTGGTGATAACTGTGATTAACTGACGATGCTTGGAAAGCGCGGGATGGTGTATTTCACAAGTTGGTTTGGTGATTTTGAATATTGTGATTATTCCATCTTATCTTCCACTGTTGTTTAAACGCATGAAGATAACTATCACAAGGAAATGGCATACTCGTTTTTTTGGGGGGGGGTTAGTGTTGCTTTTGTTTGGGATGTTGCTTTTCAAAGCACTCTGTGAGCTCAAACAGCTGTGATCCGCGCCTCAACCTTGGCTCATACCCACTGCTCTTTGTGGATTGGCCTCCATTCTCTTTGCCTTGCTTTTTTTGCTGGCCTTCTCCTCCCCTCTCCAATTGGTGCCTGTGATAAATCTAATTTATGGCCCGTGGTCTGATTAGAGTGAGAGTGAAAAATGTGGAGTGGAGGAGGGGACTCGTGGGCTAGGTAATGCGTTTGATTCAGTTCCTGCTTTCCCGGAATCTGGCCTTCATTAGATAATAGTTCATGTATTAAGCATAACGGGGGTGTTTGGTAGGAACAGAGTGAAAGAACAAGGCACAGTTGTTGGGAATATGTGGCCATACTGTTCACTTTTGCACTGGGACAAGAAACAAGCGGGTCCTTCACAATGGGCTATCTGAGTATCCCGTGTCCCAACTAGTATCCAGACCTGGAGGCTACGTGCATCTGCCCCAAGCCACGTAAGAGCTCTGGATAAGATGACAGAAATGCAGGGGAGCATGCAGCACTCTGGTATTCCTCCCCGCCTCGCGGTTTTCTGTGCGAAAGGTGTGTCAACAAAGCAAACAATGTTTTCAAAATGGGAGTCATCAAACAGGGAAATATTAGTGTTCATGTTGACTCAGTTGTTTCACTTATAACCTGCTCCATGTGATTAAGAGGGAAGTAAAAAAAAAAAACATTATTTCACGGCTGACACACAGCTGGACTGTAAAATGTTTGAGGGCTTGTGTAGTGGTCATATATGCCACATTTATTTATGTTGTCTCAACATATGAGTGTCCCGCCTGCACGGGAGTCTTAAGGAGGACTTGAAGACCCAAAACATTCTATAAAACTAATGTGTAACGTTGAGGTGGATCTGTTGGCCTTGATGTAATATAACATTAATAGGTCATTTTTTTCCAGCATATTTTCACCTGGAAAAAAAAAGACCATTTGTTTTTGTTATCTCGGGTGAAGTTTATTTCCACATCCGGCTAAAATGTTTCCACAGTAACTCGCTACTGACTAAATCAACCTGCTTCAGCTCCCTGACCATTCACTTTTTTTTGCCTAACTAACTGCAATTTTCCTTCACATTTCCATGCGTCTCTTATTGTTTTGAGCCGCCATGATCCGACGAGAACGAAAGCGAACCAAAGCAAACTGAAATCTGTGGATATTTCAGAACTAGTAGATGGTGAACACACGGAGCCTTTTTGAAATGATGCCGGACCACAACTGTTTCCAAATCAGTTTACTGTAACAACCGAAGCAGTCGCAGGGAAACCCAGAGCCCGGCCTTATTCTCACCGGGTGTGCAGAGTCAGCAGACATGGTGCACCGCACACCACGCCATTGACACGGCAGACTATTATTGTGGGAAATACATTTAAAAAAAAAGTGTTTTGGAATATCTGGTGGTTTTGTAGCCCACGTGTCCTTTAGACCTTAAAGACGTGCGTTTGATTCTCTGAATCGAGTGTCCTGGTACAAGATACCCGAAGGCCTCGGGTTGACCGAAGTTTATCAGCTAATCCAATGAACGTTGACCATTGTTGTTTACTACAAAATTCACAATATGTTGATCCCCAGGACGTTTATTTTAAACGTGTCCGTTATCGGTAATCCTGAACCATGTAACCTGCTTGGTCCTGACCTTTTCCCCCGGTTCATTTCCCCGTCTTAATTTACCTTTGCCCTTAAAGATTGCGTCTCTCATGACTTGCTCCTGTGGAGCTTTTGTGTTTTCTTTCTGTTTCTTTCAAGTGAGGCAACAGTTAATTTGTTCTTTTGACTCAAACCAATCCTTCACACTCGTGGAGGTGGGACTTGTGAGAAGATTAAATGGATTACAGCTAGAAGAGAATGACTGCTGGCACGCAGTACCACACGTTTTTTTGTATTGACCAGTAAGTACAATATATTGTATACAAATAGATCAGTTCATTTTGTTTTTTAAGTTGAAGATGTGACTTCACAAAATGTACATTTCCTTAACATGTCTTTGGCATTTCGGCAAATACATGCTAATTACTTATTACTTACAGATGGAAATAGTCTATTCAGTCTATTGGGGCATGGTTTTTATTTTACGCTGCATACCAGAGGACATTTGGGCTGTAGATATGACATAACCCTGACTAATATCTGTCATCACGTTGGAACAGTGGCTTATGGACAAAATGTTTCTGGTAAAACCAGAAATAAGCTTTGGACAATGTCATGCATGTTGATAATAATTACGATAGCTGTGGTTTATCCCTGAAGCAGCTCAGATGATGCTCTTTTAATCATATTGGGGGGGTCGGGAAACGGCAGAAGTGCAGATTCTGAAAACCTGTCCAAACTATTCTGCAGCCTTTTTTTCTTTTTCACTACGTCTTCTTTGCACAGTTCTTCTACAGATTATTTAAAGCACCTAATCACGTTGCCAGTCTGACTTATTCTCGGCACGGTTGACTGACTGGCGGTGGTCTCTGTGTTTGAGAGTGCGACGGCAGCCTCACTCGATACCAGACGCATGAACTGGGTCGAACCGATGTTAGCTTAGCAAAGTGGCGCGGACTCAGAGAGGAGGGAGGTCAATCCGTGGGGAGCAAAGTACTGTCTGGATTCCACCGGCAGTAGAGCCAACGTTATATGACCGTTTTTTGGGGTGATTTTAAGAAGGTACTACAACACTACCAGTGCTTTGCAACCTGGTATTTGGACAAATAGACCAAAACATTCTGTTTGTAACATCACAACAAGCACGCTTTCAAAAAAATCCGGTCTTGTATCCTTTACTCTCTTGTGCAGGAGTCCAGATTTGGCCTCCCTCCCTCCCTCCCTGCTGTTGTTTGCTTGTGAAATGTGCATCTGATAGCTTTCTCTGGTGTTTTGACTGACTCCGACCAGCCCGGGCTGAGAGGGCCGGATAGGGGGAAGGGAATTCAGAGAGATTCACAGTCTGGGAACCAGCGGCAGCAGCGTCCAACCAGGGTCAGGCAGGGTAAGGGGAAGAAGAGCACGATGAAGAGCACGTTACAGCGCAGGTACTGTGGTGGAAATAGGAAAACAAAAGGCCAACCGATGCAAAAGAAATGGGGATAGTGACGGAAATAGGTGAGGGAACAGTTCCATATTCGGTACCTTCAGGTACAATCACGAGCACAAACCAGTCACCTGTTTAACCGTCGCTGTGTCCCTCCTGCACCCGGTGGGTAACCGTTTGGGTACAATGAGCCATTTACTGTTCACATAACTACATGAACAAGAGGGTTGTGAGCAGCACTCGGCCAGCATGTGTCATCATCCTCCTCTTCTGAGGAAATTAGATGTCAGAGGCAAAAACGGGGCAAGGAGTCAGCTAAGTGGACCGTTCTTCCTTTGATCTATTTCTGGTGGGTGCTGCTGATGGTGGTGGAAGTAGAGGGGTTTGCTCCGAAAATGAGTGTCATCAACTCTGTGCAAAACCGGTGTTTGGAATCTTTTTCTTCCCGACTTCTCCCCACTGTGCAGCGGCCTTCAAAACGGCCCTCGCCTCTCTTTTCTCTTTGCTCACCACAACAAAGACGTCCTCCGAGCCACGAGAGCCGGATTAAGCTCCCCATTTAAGGATGAATCACTTTAATGTCTAATTCAGCTGGTGTTTGTGGGCGCAATGACATTCATCACCGGGGAAAAGTGGCGCTGAATCGCCGCCTGTGGTTTGGCTGATGACAATCTAATTAAGATAAATCGTTATCTCTTTGGTAAGTAACTAAATCGTTGAACCCAGTCGGACGCAATCGCTCAGATGACGGGCTGTTTGTCCGACGTGTTCCTGCACGCCGTCCCAGTCCAGGGAGCCTCTTTGATAAATATTTGAACGGGCGAAATGCAACAACAATTTGTTTCCATTTCCCGGCTTTTGATAAGAGGATAGATTAAGTTACACCGTCATTCGATCGGTATGTGCTACCTGGACACTGGCTGTCCGCACCCTCTTTATGGCAATGTCCATATTACTCAATGGAAACTTGTGTGGACGGGAACAGGAACAGATTGGTACCTAATGTCAACGTCCGACCGTTTGCACACAGTAGGATGTGGCGTGTGTGCGTGCGTGTGTGTGTGTGTTTTGCACGTGTACACACGCAGGGGCAAGCAGAGGCCTTTTGTGTTAAAAAAGGTGCCATTTAACAATGTTGGCTGTTTTTTCAATCACCTGCATTTCCCAGGGAAGTAACTTGTTCCTTTTTCTAAATATTTCATCGCGGCAGCGAATGAATCCAACCAGTCCCGGCGATCATAACCAGCTAACGGCCCCCTCGCTGCCCTGGTCCGAGGCAGCCTGGGATTGATCCTTTCTAACCCAATTGCCGGCGATGCTGATGGGGCTCAGATTGGCGATGAGTGAGTGCTGTGAATCGGATTGAACGGGTGTCGCCAGGCGGATTGTTAATCGCAAAGACGGATGCTTTTGGATAGATTAGATGATTTCTTCTGAGACGGTGATGCTTTTACAATCAACACACTGTACGTTTTTTGTTTTGTTACCGCTGGAAAGGATCACAGCGACTCTTTCTGTCGCCTGCCTCGAAAGCATCGCGTCCTCCGAGTGGACCTGTAATGACCTTTTGCGAGATGCTTAGTGTGCTTTGTAAACGGAGGGTATTTAAACAAATGTTTAATTCATTACACGCTTTGCTGCATGGATGCTTGCACGCACACACATCCCTATGAATTCTTGTTGTACTCAACAATATCAACCGCCTTAATCCATCCTCCGAGCCCATTCACAAATGACTTAGCTGGTGAAAGTGTGATTAAGTATCAGCAGTCGGCATGTGCATCCGGGAGTGAGACGTTGCACGCGCTGGGCAGGCTGGTTGTTCTCGTGAGCGCCAATCGTGATTTAGCAGCTTAAGGAAGTGCCGCTTCCCTGGACGATCACCTCCCTCCGGACCCGCTACGGAGCACACGTTGGCCGCTGCTGTCCACGACACGCGTAGCAAATGCACGTCTTGTGTTTCTGGAGCAAAGTAGTCATGATTCCCTTTAACCTAACGGACAGAAACCATGACTCACGGCGCCAAAGGCAAACACTCGCACAGAAAAGCCTAAAATGGGGTCACATCGCTGGAAATGTTGTTCCTAACTGAACTAAATCTTGCACATAAAAGCCAGTCCTTGTATTCTGGCATGTTTAGTCTAAAAAAAGAAGTTTTTTTTACTAATACTGCACATGAAATTGCCTAATCTCCTCGCAGTGAGCTTTTGCACCGGACCACCCAGAGAGCGAGGCGCACACACATGGGAGGGGGTTGCACAAAATAATCCGTAGAAGAACTGTGCAAAGAAGAACTGAACTAAAAAGTCTCTTTATGTTAGAAAAATGGACACGTCCTCTTCATCATACAAGACACACATTTAGTTTAGCCGTCTTGATACAGACTATAAATCCCGACATTGAAAAAAGGGGAGACGTTTAAATAACCATGCAGCGCTATAAAAATGACTTATGTGCGTGCCACTTTTCTGATGAATGAACTCCTTGTGCTTGCTTCTTTATCTCCTGTTTTCTTGCTCCCATATCGCCAGCCCTCTTCTCCCTGCTGATAGCTTTCCTCGTCACCTCCCTCTTCCCCTGCGTGGTGGTTTGGAGCAGTGGGTGGTGCGCAGGGAAGGAGGGGGGTGGGGGGTGGGGGGGGGTTGCCTGTTTTTTTCCGGTAATGAGAGGCCTTACAGGAAGGAGATATGTGGGACCACTCTTGCAGCGATCAGTATCGATTATCCTCAGAGGCACGCTGGAGGAGTGGGGGTTTGGTAACAGGGGACTGTCGAGAGCCAGACCGTTTTCCTGTTGCTAAGAGACGGCCACTGGCATGGCACTGGTGGGTGGCGTGGCAACGGGGGATGGAAGGACAGCGCCCGGATCAACCTGTGTGTTTTCAGCTGCCCGACTGATTGATCAAATGATTCGGTCGCCTAAGGAATGTATGCTGCGACCGCTCCTACCTCTGCATTACTGACCCATTGTGTATTCTGGCTTAAACATGCACTGGTATATTGATAAAATGAGCTTCAGTTCTCCGAATGAGCCAATTCCTTGAAGAAATAGTTCAGAGAAGTAAAGATGTGTTTAGTTCTAATAGTGGTTGGTAGTTCATAAACACTTATACGAGATACTTCACATTGATCCATTGGTTTCCCGTGACCTGCATGTTGAAAGAGGTTTTGGAATTTATCCAGACTTCTTACCCAGATCGGCTGGCGTTCTGCTCCAGAACCCTCGATGCATCCATGATTTCAGCCTCCTTGGGGTGTTGCACTGAGCAGCACCGGACGGGGCCTCGAAAGGTCTCTGAAAACACACACTCCTCGAGCGCCCCCCGAGCTGCCTTGCTTTCCGGTCCCTGCCCTTATCTGGACCTCGCAGGCTGGAGGCCGTCGATACATATTCAGAAGCTATATGATATCCGTCTGCCCTTTGAGTAAAGCGTGTTCCCTTCTACATTACTCATTACTCTTACTCATTTTAGTATCGTAGTGTTTCGTTGAGGGTGAAATGTTTATGAATATTGGCAATGCGAGTCGTTTAATACGTTAGGCCTGGTGTCTGTCTCTCTCCCTCACACACACACACACACACACACACACACAAAGGCTCTCTTATTTAGACCTGCATGAACTCGATTAGGATTTATTACCTCAGCTTTGTCCCCAGTGAACACGCCTGGCCTGTGCTCTAGATTGGGGGCAAACTGGATGGAAGAATGGAGGAAGAAGGGTGAAGAGTTTGATTAGTTTGGGAAAGTTCCACCGACGTTCCACAGACATGCACTGTGCAGCGCTGAGAGATTGGCTGGATTCTGCAGCCCAAATTGTGAAATTTGTGAGATATTTATAGTTTTTTCAGGCTGGGAGTATCCATGGAATTTTTTTTTTTCACACACACACACACACACACACATCTGTCTCTCTGTGGTCTCAGAAATGTGAGAGATGCAGTTGTGAAACCTTGATGTGTAGTGAGCTGAAAATGAAGTCAAGTTTGGAGTCTCATTGCAAGATTCTGTGTTTTTGGGGAGATTTTTTATACATATTTGCCTGCAATAATGCATTTGGAGTCAGAAGTTTACTGTGTCCCCGAGAAACGGATCTATTGTCTAAGCACACGGAGTGAAGCCTCCTCCATGACGCCGTGGTGCCGGGTAGCAGAAGACCAAGCTGCCTGAACCGGTTGGTCTCAGCGGAAAGTGGGTCATCGTGGTCAGTTTCCCAATTATGGAGGAGCATGTTTAATTTATTCAGACAGATTGACTGTGTGTAAGATTGACTGTAAGTGTGAACAAAAGATGAACAATAAAACTCTAAAACGTCATAACGTTTGTGGTGGAGCTCCAAAGGACGAATTGGTAAAGATCAAGCTTTTTGTTTTATTGCGCTAAACATGCAGAGTGTCTCTTCCTGTCTCGGCCCGTTGGGAATTAGCAGTTGAAGGCTCAGCTTGGTGCCTTATCTCCTCACAACATCTGTGGTGAATCCCAAGGCCGGATCGCCAGACTTCTCCTCTTCAGCATCGGCTGGGAAGCTGAAGGTTTTTCCCGGGAGGCAGAGAGAGAGAAAAGAGTGTGACATAATCCCAAAGAAATTAGGTTCTAACCTGCCGAGACATTTACATGCTACCATGTGTGTGTGTGCGTATATGAGACAAAGACGGCTTGTTGACATCGTAGGAAGCCGTCTTCCTAAACCCAGACCGTCTGGTTAAGCTTGTCTAACCTGTCCTCTTCATGGACGTGAACAGCGTGAGCAGTAACACACACACACACACACACACACACACACACACACGTGTAGCTGCCTGTGACAGAAGCGATCTGCTGCCCGACAACGCTTTGTGATTGCGTTACGCGTCCACGATGGCACTGCGGCCCCCGGCAGGCGTTACCGCCGTTAACCTCCTGCTGCAGAGCGCCGACGTAAACAAAGCTCGGACAACAACACACGCTGCTCCATGTTATACATGTTGTTGATTTAACAAAATTCATTTATTGTTACTTATATTTATACATTGAGAACCCTTCAGGCATCACATGTCAGAATCAACATCTTGACTGTACTATTGAGGATTTCACAGCAGGCTTATTAATAGTTTGAATAAGTGTAACACAACATTTTGAATCAATCTACAGAAAGTGTACTTTTATACAGCTTTTTGTGGGTGTTCTTTAATGATGGAAACATTTAGCCACATATATTTATTTATTGGTTTTCACTTCAAAGACAGTCACTGAAGTCTAGTTCATTAAAGTGACTTTTTCCACTGTGCTTTAATCAAAAGCTTTGGTGTGGTGTGGATCGCTGCGTGCGCCGGAACAAATGTACTGCGACTCTTCTAATGTCTCCTTGCCTCCTCTCTCTCTCTCTCTCTCTCTCTCTCTCTCTCTCTCTGATTCGGTCTCCCCCAGGTCATGGAAAGCATTCGCACTTGTTAGAACGACGTACTATCTGGGACACGGGGTACATACGCCTAAATCAGCTGGTGGTCATGTGTGACGCTGTGGTCTGATGCCCACCCTCCCCTCAGCGCTGGCCATGGACGTGGACGGGGACAGCTACCTGCATCCAGAAGGCCCTCAGATAGACAGCAGCTTGTTCTCTGTGGCCCCCACCAACATGGAGGTATGCATCCATCATCTACGACCAATGAACTTCTCACCTTCCTCTTGGAGCCTCGGCTATGTATCCAAATGAATATTTTATCACTCCCTTTTTAATATTCGACCGCTGTCACAGGAGGAAATGAAGTGTAATTGACCTCTTACTGTGGGGCGTGTTTAGTATTTTCTGTAAAGTGCCACGGATCAATCCCCAAAAACAATGTGGTCTTACGTTGGCGTGTTGGATACTGAAGGCGTTAAAGGCCTCGCTCCCCCCTCCCTCATGATGGGTAAGGACACCATAGCTGTGCGTAAATATTTACTGTTGGATACCTGAACACTGGTGAATGTGACGTCTGCAGAGCGCTCATCCAGACATGTATGGAGAAAGGAAGTGGTCCTAATTGTGGTATCAAATGCCAGGCGTAGCTGATTATGACTCCTCTGCTCCCATTCAGATGAGGGCAAATATAAAAAGGTCATGTCACAGTGTTGCTCTTATCTGTTGTGATGCTCGGTGTCCACGTGGTTTCGTTTTGTTTTGAATTCATCGGCCCGCTCGGATTTCTATTGTCGGTCTTTGGTTTGATGGAATCTTTTTTCACGCTCGCGGTATTGAAGAATAACACATGAAGACAGTCGGCCTCAGTTTAAACCGAAGGGATATCGACCAATGAAATCGGCTCACTGGTCTTTGAGCACCACTTATAGAATTATATATTTAACTCTGCAGAAATTCCATAAAGTTTCACAAATCCTCGGCTCCTAACACTGAAACTATGGGCCCGACTACGTCCCATGAGTAGTGAAAAGACGGCTAAACGGACCGTTTAAAAGCTAATAGAATTCTACTAAAACAAAAGTAAGTCAAAGTACTGTCTGTCAACATTTACATGTGGTTTGGACGGCCGAGGGCCGTGTGCGGTGAAGATGTGGTTTGGCGCTTGGCAAGATGGGCGCTCGAGATGGAGATGATAGTATTCTCATGCACTGGATTGTAAAGCTAACAAAGGAGGCGTCTCTTTTTTCAAAACCAACACCTACATTGATAGTTCGGATTTGTTTGAGGTCTTAATCTTGAAGTCCGTGTGTCAGTAGATGACAGTGGCCACTCCCCAGTTAGGAGAAGCAGGCGGGATTAGAGAAAATCACCAAAAAAAATCTAATAAAAAGCGTGCACGCTATATTTAGAATGTTTTCACTGCTTTACCGTAATATCGCACTGACCTTTTCTGACTGGTAATAATGCAATTATATCCCTCTATGCTCCCCTAAAGACGTCTGGTGTCATATTCTTGTGTTTTATTTTGTAGTATTACAGATTTTCCTTTTTTGTTCCGTTTTAGGGTTCAATCTACGCCTCCTCTGGTTCCTGGGGATCCTACTCTCAGCAGCCCGGATACAGCATACACTGCCCTATGCAATCTGGAAACCAGTAAGTCAATACCAACTCACAGACCCGTCTGACCGTACCTCCCAGTGTCACGCTCGGAGACTGAAGAGGTCACATGTCTTCACGCCGTTCACTAGAATGAGAACGTTCCGTACCGCGCAGCAGGCGCTGCCCTTTAGATTGAGGGTCGTGTAGCATTTAGTGTGCGTTATGAATATTTTTCTAAGGGTGTGGATTTTTTACTTTTTTTCACATTACTGCATTATTCCCCAAATTCCTCCATTTCTGTCTTTTTCTTCTGCACTGTGATTCTGTGCTACCCCAAGAAGGGGAATGTTTTATTCCGAAAAGCCCTCCCATGTTGAGTAGATTTGAACACACAATATTCTTTTTTTTTTTTTCATCCCGTTACCTGACGTGTACCAAACACAATCAGGCCGTTGGGTTCACGTTTAACCAACATCAGCTCACGTCATCAGACCTCCTTCACTTCCTGCAGCGAGCGACCTGTGACACCCTCACCGGGAGGGTTAATCTCAACATCCTGTGCCTCTGACGGACATGTCCACAGACATCACCGCCCAATGAGAGATGTTTGTCTCTTTCCTCCCACGTGAGGAGTGTTTGCGTGCGAGAGAATGTCACACATCTCGCCCAGAATCCGCTGGTGTCTGTAGAGCCCCCGACTGCTGTGTGCCGGCAGACGATTGGCCTGACGGTCACCGCTGGGCCTTCCCCCGCAACTGGTCAACATGCCTTTTTACGTCGGGCCGTGTTTGGATGCCGGTCCCGCCAGCGTTTGTGAAACCCTGCGCCTAAAGAGGGTGGAAATGTTGTGTTGTTGACACTTGAGCAACACGTCAGCGACCCCAGTAGCAGGGAGAAGGCAAAGAGGCCCAAACTATGTAAGCCAGAGAGAAATTAAAGACACCACTGCCATGTGGTGCTCGCGTGTCTCAGTAAGACTTAATATGTTGACTGTAGTGGCTTCACATGTGGGTTTTGCGTGTCTGCCGCTGTGACGCGGCCATCTAGAGTCCTAAATACTGTCTGCGTGCGCCTGTTACTGTTTTCACCAGTGTAAACAAAAAGGCATTGCAAGGAAAAGAAACATGGGAAATACTCTCTAATGATAAGATATCAATCATCTCTACTGACTGGATTTAGTCACCAGCGAACCCGCGCGCTACATATCTGAGGAAGCGCCTGCTCGAGTGGCAGCGCTGTGCGTTTCTTTGAAAGCTCGAGCAGCAGATGACGTGAGAACGCGGCCTGTGGTTCTCAGGTTGACTCAGAGCTGAATTTTGATGACATCAAACTGTTCAAACAGTCGCGCACTGATGTCACGATAGACTTCAATGTTTTGTGGTCGAGGCCTTGATCCAAAGAACAATGGTCTCAATAGGTGTTACTTCAGCATTATTCAGTGAGCGGAGCAGAGCGTGGCGCTGGTCGGGAGGTCACTCTTTGTAACTTTCATTAGTATGAGTCTGAGTATGTCGGTCTGTTACAGGTCACACCGCTGGAGTTTACAGAGCTCAGACACCATAAAAACGATATAACACACCAGCTCTCTGAAAGCTCCTTTTCTCCCTGCAGCGTTTTTCTCGGTCCAAACCGAAGGAAAATTCCAGATAGTTCTTACTATCTGTAAGAGCTCGATGTCCTGACACTGGTCTCTGCTTGGGTTCGTTGCCTATTTCTTACGTCTATTTCTTAGTGTTGCTCTGCGCTCATGTGCTGGTCAGGTGGTCAACATCCTCACAACGTTCACTGACCACATGGGAGAACAAAACATCGGCATGCAGTAAAATGCACGACACTGTGTATTGTATTAATGAACTGAAAAATGTTCATCTCAACAGCAGTTTATGGTGGTATTGTTAAGAGTGTTTGTTTAGAGTGGAATAAAAAGAGAAGCCGACCATGAATCTGCTTGTGATTGTTATCAATCACGAAGGCTCAGAGGTTGTGGAGTTTGTTTGGTGGTTAACGTGGCTCCGAGAATGCTTGAGAACACTAGCTGCTCTCAGAAAAAGGCCTTTTTACCATTTTCCTTTTTTTGGTTAATGACACCGTTCAGTGAGGTGATCATTTTTTCACACCAATCATTATGTTAACCCAAAAGGTCCATTTTATTTGCGCTTTTCACTGCGCATGAAGGCAACAGCCAACCTCATTGTGCGAATTGGTCACATCCCCTCCTCCCACCCTTACCTTTCACAATAAAACCCCTCGACACGCGCTCTTGGCCTTCAAGCCCCTCCGCTGTGTAAAGGTCTTTTCTCCAGGGTTTGGTTTGACCGCTCGCTTTGTTTCTCTCGTCTGCCTGCAGTGCGTCCCGGCGCTGTGAATCAAAGTTCCCTTCTTGCGCAATGTTTAGACTCCGAGGAAGTGTTCTTCCAAGGAACCTGAATAGTTAGCTCATTGTTAACCGTGTGGCCTCAGAGCTCCAGTTTAGTTTAAGGAATCAATACACATTTCCTTCTATGGAAGCAGCGTCACTCTCTTCCGAGTCACTCTTTTGTCGGGATTATGTTCCCACACAGTGTATCTTCCCTAAACGTCTTTTAATGACGACTGTTCTTTTAAAACTAAACATTTGGAATAGTTTGTAAAGCGTACTTGAATATGGGCCCAAGATAGTATATTTAAACTACACAAAAATGCAGCGAGGCGCCAACTTTCCTCTTTTTTTTACCGTTTCTTTTGCTCCTTGAGAAGGAACTTTAGATTCTGTCACATTTAAATAAAAATATTCTTCCAAACAAAAAAATCCATCCAACAAACTTTATTGAACTAAGAAGAAGAAACATTGCAGTGTTATATGTATATGGGGTGTAATTATTACTTATTCTGAACCACAGAAAGCAGTGAAATTGTTCTTATGAAGTTAGTTTGTAATTAAAACCTAAAAGTCATTGAGTGGAATTTGATTTCTTTGTAAAGTAAATCTCTTTCCTGATCAAGCCCTACCTTTTATCTATTGTCGCTACTAACTTAAGGTGTAACGGATTATTCTTTTGGTTCATTGTTTAATATAAAGGATGCTCCTCAGCACTGCAGGTCCCTTTCATCCCTCTGACGTTGTCAACAAATACAGCAGACGGCGGCCTGTCGGGATTTGCGAAGTGTCTAAAAATGGCATCGTCACATGGCTGGCCGATGCGTTAATGAGACATTGTGAAAGAATAACACGGCTTTAGAGCTGATCGGTGCAGAACCCCGGACTGCGGAGTAGTGGAAAAGCTCCACAAACACCAACGGCGGGTCGGCCTGAGAGCCGCGGGGCGGTTGGAGAGCAGCTGACGGCGTCCAGCCTGAACCTCTGCTGTCATCACATCACGGTCGTGATATCCTGGGATCGGGGCTTCGTCCCGAATCAATCCCTCTGATCCTAATCTCTGGCGCACGATTGGCCGAGAGGAACGTGGGCGGAACGAGGCGAGGGTACGGTTCAAATTCCACCTTTTTTTTTTTTAGCAAAGGAGTTAGTTTTACTTTCGCTATGACGAACTGCCGGCAACCTTCAGCCGGGGCGGTGGTTGCTTAATGACGACTCGTACTCAACAAGAAACAGAAACGCTCCCTCGTGTTGGGACTTCTATCCGTGAAGAAGGTCGTGAGAGGGCTGTCTGTCATTAACACTATGCTCAGCGAGAATGCAAGCTGGACATATTGTCTACAAAGCGGGTAGGAGCTGCTCTTCTCCATTCTTTAACTCTCTGTATATCTCTCTCTCTCTCTCTCTCTCTCTCTCTCTCTCTCTCTCTCTCTCTCTCTCTCTCTCTCTCTCTTACAAAATCCGTCTGGTATCTTTGACAGCTGAGGCTCCGTTGGCTCTGAACACCCGGATACTTTTCAGACTCTTTGAGTTAGTAAAGACACACGGGGCAAATCCCTCCGCTCCGCCGTCATTCAATCCGTGCCGTAATTTCAGGATACGCTGGAATCGCTGAGCGCTCGATGCGATGCAGCAGTGCTGGTGTCAGATGATTAACCGCTCGGACCGTAGCTCTTGACCACACGTGACGCTCACTCCACGGACCACAGCCCGGGCACGGAAGGCGCTGCATGGCCGCCGTAAGCTGTGAATCTGTGTTGGAGAAGGTGGCTGTGGAACAAACTAAAGCTTCTCTCCCCCATCTCCCCCTTTTCTCCAGGCAATACCACTTGAACAGCAGCACTACCACCCCCGCCACGGGTGTGCGCATGGACGACTACTCGGAATTCTCCGAAGTGGACTTTTCCAGCCTCGTCCTCCCTCCGAACGGAGACTTCCCCCAGGTTGGTATCTGTCTTGTTTCTTGACCGTTCGGTTAAAGCGGCGCTGACTGATCGTAGTGGCCACGAGAGCCCATGTGACAACACAGTTGGGTCCATTCTAGTTTGTTTGTCCTTGTTTTTGTTCCCTCCCGCTTACCTGCTCATCAGAGGGCCGGGCGCCTCCCACCGGCTCCTTTCATCCCGCGTTCCGCGTGCACGTCGCTCGGCTTCATTTGCCAAAGAGCAGCCCGATTAAAGGCTTGCTGTTGTCTAGACGAGTGCGGCGGTACCTGCCCCGTTCCTGCCCAGGCATGTCATTATTAACAAGACGCTGTAATTTGACGTCCTGCCAAGCTTCCTCCCTGCGTCTTCACAAGTGGTTGCCAGGTAAACCCGGGACGCTCTGTCTTTGGGGGTTATCTCCGACCGGCACGTCACTATAAGTGACGTGAGAAAAGGGTGAGGTGCTCCGCTTTACCTCACCCTTTTCGAGGGGGTTACTACCCCGTCATTTGCATGGCGGCGATTGTAATGAAACAGGCCGGCGCGTTTCTAATCCGAGGCCTTTTCGGCTCGAGGTGATCAGAGCTGCACATTAAAAATGAAACGCTGTGATGATGAGTTTTTTAGAAAGGTTGCCACAGTTCACCCCCTTTTATGATCAGCGTGTGTGACAGTAGGGAGTCTACCTGAAGGGGGTTTCCTGGTTCAACATGGGCCCAAAGCAGCGAATGATGATGATAATTATTATCATAATAAGGCATTTCTTTACTTGTTTGTACATTTTTGGGGGCTTTTCACTGGATGATATGAAATGGTCTTATAGCTCTTTATAATGCTCTTTATTTTCAATAAATATAAACCAGCGTAATGAAAGCAAGGTGACAAATAATGAGAAAAAGTTACGTGGCTTTATTAGTAGTGGTTGGTGTATTGCAGCGTCTGCAAGTCTGTGACATAATGAAACTTAATTCATTCTAAAGCTTGAGGGAATGTTATTTGTAAGATGAATCACAAACCATAAATGAGCTCATTTGGCATCGAGGGCGTGTTTGCAGGAGCTCAGTGGAGTTATTTGACTCGCTGGAGTTTTACCGCCTTTGATAACGTAACGTAACACTATATTTTTTACACATGAATTACATTTTTAACACAAAAAAAAATAAAATAATAAGTGTTGTGTCCAGTTCATGAATGCAGCAAATATTTCTCTTTTTTTTAATTGTGTGGTGCACTTTTACTTTTTTTGATCAATCCCATAAAAATGCCAATGGCGTTCTAGCGAATGTCAGGCTCACTCCGGACATCAAAACAACTTTTGGGAACAAAAGAGCAGATTTAAAGCCTTTCATATACAAGAAAGTGACCTCAGCTTGCCTTGTCACGCTGGCATGGATTTTGTGACTCACGTGGGGTTTCCCTCGTTTTCTATTTGCTTCTTTTAGCTCGTCTGGCGTCCTTCCTTAAGTAATTGCTAGTGCTCCTGGTAACGTTAAAGTGGTCGGTTGAGACGTCGCAAGTTTGTTTTCCCGGTAGTGGAGACGTGGATTGTTCTAGAGAGAGAGAGAGAGATGTTGTGTTGTACTCTCTCAGCTGTTCTCTCTGCCGTTGGACCCTCCTCGCTGCCACGTGAGGCAGAACATGGGAGTCACGGGGTCACCGTGACTAATCCGCCACCTCCACTCTCCTTCCCACCCTCGCCACGACGCGCCGAACTACACCACATTATTTCCTACGACAGGCATTCGCGAAGCAGCGCATTTATTTCCTTTCCCTCCACCCGCTGAGAACCACCAGGCCCAGAAGACGTTGACGGGGCGTTCGTGACTGCGGGACTCTGTTTAGGTGGTTCCGTTTGTCGGGCGACTTGCCGTGTTTATGTCAGCCGTTTCCTTGTTTCGGTTCGGAGCTGGCGAGTCACGAGTGACATCTCTTGGTCGGTCACATTCAGGCTGCGATGGAATGTCCTCGTATTGTAAATGTGAGGAAGCGCGCTGTTGGGAGCATGTGGGCGAGATATTCACCTCGAGGTCAAATGGTTCTGTTTGTAAAAGAAAACCCAATGCAGCAATTGATGATCTGACACATCCGCGCCGATTTGCACCGTCCTCTCCAGGAAAATTACTGAAAAAAATAACCTTAACGCATGAAATCCTTTCTTGGGAGTTACTGGAGAACTAATGACGCCCTAAAATGAAGCATTATCAAAACACGGCTTTGGGCACAGGGAAAGGAAGATAAACAGTGGAAACTTTGACGAAACCGATCGAGGCCTCATCATTTTCTGATTGGTGGGAACCTGAACGAAAAACACAGCCCCTCAGAACTTACTCTCTGCGGTCTGAGGGACAGTTGTACCACAGTGACTCGTGCACACCTGTCTTCAGTTTGGCCATCGGCGGAGCTAAATGACGCGAACCTTCATGCAGAGCGTGAAAACAAGACTTACTGGAAGACAGAAAAAAAAAGAAGAAAAAAAAATCATTCACTAACCACCGACCTCAAAGGCTGAGCTTTGCCGGCGTGCACACACACTGTATACGCCATGTACTGTACGTGCACACGTTTCTTGCTGCAAACTCGTTCTTTCTCCTCTTAATATTGCAGACGCACGGAGAACTTCTAGGAAGAGTTGATGTGCGTCTCCTTTTGGAGTCCGTCCCACCTGAACACACGGGCGGGTATTGAACTGTGAGGAGCAGCTGGAGATTATTGGTCCGGGCTTTTTGTCAAAGGGGATTTAAGGGGGCATTATCCCACACATTCTGCTCAAAGTGGGAGAACCCCCGGAGGGGGGGGGGGAACCCACGAGCGCCAACACGGAACCTGAATCTCCACACAGAGAAAAAGCCAATTACTCTGAAAGCTGATTAAGCAATAGCAGCCGCAGAGACATGCTGCAGATGGTCTACTCGTTCCAATCACGCATTGACTTTGGACAACTTTTAAATCCCACAGACTCGACAGCTGATCCATAATTACATCCTTATTTGGCACAGATGGGCAAAGATCAAACCCATTAGTCCTGCAATTCTCTTCAGAATCCAATTGCTTGCGAAGAAGTTAAATGTGCAAAGCTAAATTACAAGGAGATATTTATCAATGAGTTTCACTCCGGAGCTGATTTCATTTTACTGGCGCAGACATCATGATACGCAGTCTCCCGAATTACTTCCTCTCAAGGAACTCCGACACTTGTATCATCTTTAAGTGACCCAGTTTAATAAAGGAAATTAAAGATTAATTCAAAGGGTCGTTGGTGTGTGCACAGTTTGCTTTAACTGATCCACTGATCCACAGCAGCTCAACTTATCTCTACAATATGCACCCACTTCCAAAAAGATATCGTTTCGTTTATAGCATCTCTATAAATCTGGAACCAGGATGAGAATCAGAAGGGGATACGAGATCAAACTCTGCTCGCACGTGGTCTCTAGCGGCCACGCCACCATTCTCGCTGACAAAGGTCTGTGAGAACCGTCTTCGGGCCGGGACGCACGGGTGAGTTTGAGTTTTATGAAGAAGCTCATCAATGATTAACTCCACGCGCACACACACTGACATTATTCAGAGGATTCCCACTCCCCGTACCACGATGACATCATGGACAGGCGCCACTCGGTCTTCTGAGAGTCTGACTCCCCATCACAGCACCGCCACCCTCACTGATATCGCGTATTCCCGGAGGCCCGCGCGCGCTGCTTCTGTCCTTACGGAGACACATCACAGTAATCCTTGTTTTTGAGTCCCAGATTTCCCTCATTTATTAATGTCCTTCTGTGAACATCACTTTCCAGTCAGGGAAATTAACGTTACGGCACGAGCAGATTCCCAGAATATATTTCTTTCCGCGGCCCCACTTCCAGTAAACGCCGATGACCCTCCATGATTAGTATTTGTGTGTTGTCATCTGTGACAATGTAGAAGTAGTGTGTGAACCGGCACAGCCTACACTTGACCCTTTCATCCATTTCTGACCACAGCGGTCTTCTCCTCGCTCAAGGAGGGTTTTTTTTAGCACGGAAACCCTGACACGTCTCTTTTGAAGTTGATGACCACGATAAAGCTTTAATAATAAAATAAATAAATGAAGAATAAAGATTGTTCCGACAGGCAACTCGAGCCCGCGGGGAGCTGCATTCCCAGAAGTGACACACGCCTCCATTTATGTAACGAGACAATGCTGGACACCTTAGATCACCTAAAGCCCGATCAATAACCGGGACGGCCCGGCTCCGCCTATGATTACCGGGGGCGCGGATCGCATGAGAATTAAACAGAGGGAGAGATGATGCCCAGCGCACCTCTTAAAATCAGAAAATGTTCAAGGTGGTAATTGGTTTCCATTCCGTCGGGAGCTGTGGATTATTAAAACAGTCTGTCAGAGAGTCTAAATATACTTGGAACGCCGGTCCGGGCCCGTCGAAGCGAGCGGCACCCAGCGGGGCGTGAGCGGCGGCCGGGTCCACAGCGCAGCAATGTTTACACTACGAATGCGGTTGAGTTACACCATGTACAGTAAAATGGGCCTGACTGCCAGTAACTCTAGTCACTTACCAACAAAAGCATCATTTCCTGAAAGCTCCTCCCTCCTCCCTCCTCCCTCCCCTCCCCTCCCCGGCTGTGCGCTCTCACTCGCTCTCCAACCACCGTTGTCTTTCCTTTACAGCTTTTAGGAACTAGTCCACAGTCACCATGACTAAGCCCTCCATGCCAACACCTGGCCGTCCTGCCCAAGCAGGAAGCGTGTTTTAGACCTCCCCCCCCCCCCACCCATGTCTCCGTCTGGGAGAGCGGCGTGAGCTCATTGGCTTCGAGCATACCTGAGGGTGGAGGCAGATGTGCGCCCGTGTGTGTGTGTGTGTGTGTGTGTGTGTGTGTTGAACCGGAGAGAGGAACTGTGACACGCGGCGAGTGAGAGTCCGCTGCTGGGTGGAAGTGCGCCAGCTGTAAGGTGGATACCGACACATGGACGGGGCCGTCGCACTCAGGGAGCCGAGGTGAAGCGGGACTGCATGCGT